CGCCATACACCTTTTTTCTGCTCAGTCTGTGGCGCAACTTAAAATGGAAGAGCCAATCCTCAGATGCCTTGAAGTCTGATGGGCCAATCTGTTTGCTGAATTTTCCTGCAGCCATTTTAAGTTCGGCACCACAAACCATCATACAACTACCACGTTGTTGTAGGTACCACTTCATCACACAATGATCAAGTTCCAAGTTCTGTGGCTTCGCCATCAATTTTCTTTCAGCATTTTTTCCAGTTTCTGAGGTGGCAGAAAACTCACTTGTGTAGGCCATAATCATATCATGAGTTTTCTTGATATCATAGAGGGTCAACTCTGCCAAATTCTACTCAGCCATAAGTAACACGTTGGACCAACCTGCATCCACATGTGACAATATTTTCCTCATTTTTTTTTTTATTAGAGTAAGCACATTCCTGGCCCCTCTCTGGTGCCATACACAAGATAACTAGGACAAAACACAGCAGTAATAATGCTAAAAGGATGAGTGGAACCCCCACAAAGGCCACAAACTCGCTTCCGGACTGCACCATCATTATGCTCACCTATTCGGTTAGGAGAAAATAGCAGGAATGAGAACAGTGGGTGGCAAGGGTGGCAAAGAACACGGCTCCTAGTGGCCAACTGGTACACTAACGTGTGTGCCAAGTTTGATTTAGCCTTCTGCCGTATCCAAACGGCTGTTCGGATGTTTCAAAAATTTTAGAATTTTGTCCTTTCCCAGGGTCTGTTCGGATATTGGCAAGGTTTAGATAATGGCAGGCTGGATATGCGAGGTATCACTGTACATGTATATATATAATATGCAATAACTTGCATATATAATAATAATGTATGTATTTATTTCTACAATACATGTACAGGCATAAAGACCATAGCTGACATCAGTGACATACTATTAAACAGAAAGCCGCTTGTTATGCAGAGCATTTTGGGCAAATTTGGTCAGTTTTGTCCCAAGATGAAACCCACATCAGTCGACTAACTCCCAGGTTCTCATTTTACTGATGGGGAACATAGACAACCGGTGTAAAGAAACACGCCCAATGTTTCTACCCTTACTGGGATTCGAACCCAGACCCTCACCGTGTGAAACAAGAGCTTTAGCCACCAGGCCATAGGGCACCATGGCCTGGTGGTTGAAGTTTCCAGACATAATTAAGAGACATGGAACAGAGTACATAAACCAACAAGAGTGGCAAGTGGATGCCGTAATAGTGAATCAGGGAGCCGTATAAACAAATTTTTGGTTATACAGTGGGCCCTCATTTTTCGTAATTAATCCATTCCAGGAAAAGTGACTATTTTCGAAAATGACGATTTTCGAAACCATTTTCCCCATAAGAAATAATGTAAATACAATTAATCCATTCCAGACACCCAGAAGTATTAAAACAAAATTTTTTTTTACATGAAATATAGATGTAGTACATATACATACAATACAACGGGACATGATGAATGAAACATTAACAGCATAACACTTACCTTTATTGGCAATTCTTCTTAGTGTATGGAAGACTGGAGGAGGGGAGAGATTGGATTATTTACTGTTTGGAAGGAGAATCCCCTTCCATCAACACCTCAGGTACCAAGTCTTTTTCTGGGGTTACTTCTCTTCTCTGTATCTTAATGCCACTAGGACCAGCTTGAGAGTCACTGGAGCCCTGTCTCGCAAAAAAAAGTGTCCAGAGAGCTCTGTTTCTGGCGTCTCTTTAAAAATCCTTAAAATGGGCCAAGACTTTGTCACTGTACAAATTGCCGATATGGCTTGCAACAGCCTTCTCAGGGTGATGTTTCTCCATAAATCTTTCCATCACCCCACATTTCAAAAATCTCAATTTCTGAAGAAGGCAACTTCTTTAATCTCTCTTCCTCCTCCTCTGCAGCAATATTCTGAGCTGCAGTCTGTTGCTATTCCAGCTGAAGCTCTTGCAGCTCCTCAGTGGTTAGCTCTTCGTTGTGGTCCTCCACCAACTCTTCCACATCCTCCAAACTCACATCCAACCCCATGGAACTCCCCAATGCCACAATAGATTCCACAACTGCCATAGGTTCGTCAGGGTCAGCCCCAAACAAATCAAAATCCCTCTTGTGGACACAATCTGGCCACAATTTTCTCCAAGTAGAGTTCAAAGTCCTGGTAGTCACTCCCTCCCAAGCCTTACCTATAAGGCTTATTCAATGGAGGATACTGACGTAATCTTTCCAAAACTCTCTTAGGATCAAGTGAGTGTCTGAGGTCACATTAAAGTACCTTTGAAACATTGCTTTGGTGTAGTTTTTATTAAAGTTTGAAATTATCTGCTGGTTCATGGGCTGGAGGAGAGGAGTGGTATTAGAGGACAAGAACTTTACTGTCATGAACCCATACTCCTCCAGAATTAGGTCATCCAAGTTTGGAGGATGAGCAGGTGCATTGTCCACTAGCAGGAGGCACTTGAGATACAATTTATTTTCCAGGAGGTAATTCTTCACAATGGGGCCAAACACTTCATTGAACCACTTGACGAAAATTTCCCTCGTGACCCATGCCTTATTATTAGTTTTCCAAAACACATACAGTTTACTTTTCATAACATTGTTTTTCTTGAAAACACTGGGATTTTCAGAATGGTACACTAGTAACGGCTTCACTTTGAAATTCCCACTAGCATTAGTACTACAAAACATGAGCGTCTGCCTGTCTTTCGTAGGCTTGTGTCCTGGCAGTCCCTTTTCCTCCTGGGTAATGTAGGTCCTCTTTGGCATTTTCTTCCAAAAGAGGCCTGTTTCATCACAAATGAACACTTGTTGTGGTTTTAATTGTTCAGTCCGTATGTACTCCTTGAATTCACTTATGAATTTTGTAGCTGCAATTTTGTCCGAACTGGCAGCCTCGCCATGCCTTATCACACTGTGTATGCCACTACGGTTCTTAAATCTCTCAAACCAGCCTTTGCTGGTCTTAAATTCACAAACATCAGTACCCGTTGCAGGCAATTTCTTTACGAGATTGTCATGTAACTGCCTAGCATTTTCACAAATAAGCGACTGCATAAGACTATCTCCTGCTAATTGTTTCTCCTTTATCCACACCAATAATAACTTCTCAACATCTTTGAGTACTGGCAATCTCATTTTTGTCAGCATATTTACCCCCTTTGCAACAACAGCTTCCCTGATTTCCTTTTTCTTGGCCACAATGGAAGCTATGGTTGCATGGGGTTTCTTATACATCCTGGCCGAACTGGCCAGGATGTATAAGATGTATGTTTTTCTTGAATTCAATCATATTTCTCACCTTCTTTACCAAGGGCCTGGCACTAGGAGCCTTCTTTGGAGCCATGGTAACTTATTTAGCAGTTGCAAGCACTGAAATGAATGGAATATTATGAAATATTTTATATAAACAAGTGAGGGGACCGTCACTCACTGGTAAACAATGACACACTGGCTGGGAAGGGAGTGCGAGGCAGGCTCGGAGCCGTGAGTACGCATCCGGGATGAACGACTATTTGCGAGTCAAACAACGATTCACAAGTCAATGTTTTTACAAAAATAACATTACGATTTTCAAAAATTACGACTTTCGAGCCTTACAATTATCGAGGGTCCACTGTAATTTGAAATGCTTGTATGAGCGAATCACCGTAAAACGAAGTGCCATAAAGCAGAGCCCTACTGTATCTTTAATTTCCTAGAACAAGAATGAGACAAGGAAAATATAAGCCTTGTGGGTTTTCAGCCTGTCCAATTAATTTGATAATAAGAAAAAACACCATGCATGACATTTCAAAATGCATACAAAAATGCAAGTGAAATCTCTGGTTGAAAGCCACTTCATAGTTGGCTAGAGTCCATAAATAATCAGTAAATCTTTTAAGTACATATCAGTATGTAACGATTAAGACAGTGACTATGAAGATGGGCTGCATTCTTGCACATGATAAATTTATAAGCCAACTTCATGAAGTTCTGTGTGCATTTTAGATATTAACCCTTGGACTGTTTACGTTGTATATAATACGTCTTATGCGCCACTGTTTCTGATGTATTTAAACGCGTAAATTCTAGCGGCTTCAAATCAAGTAGGAGAAAGCTGGTAGGCCCACAAGAGAGAGAATGGGTCTGTGGTCAGTGTGCACCACATAAAAAAAATCCTGCAGCATGCAGTGCATAATGAGAAAAAAAAAATTCTGACCGTTTTTTTGGAATAAAACGCCAACTTTGAGGTGTATTTTCATACAGTATTTGTTGTATTCTCGTTTTCGTGGTCTCAGGTGATAAAGTGGAAAACATATTACAGAAATAGAGATGATTTTCATTACTTTCATGAAGAAAACGACCTTGAAATTGAGCTCAAAGTAGTGGAAATGTTAGATTTTTACCAATGTTCAGGAGTAAGCAAATTACACCACACGTCCAATACACGTCAACTGGGGAGTCTAATATTCTTTCCCTAGTGCACTGATATTATTTATACCATTTTTACAATAATGCAGTAGTCTGCAAAACAGTAAATTTTGTATTTTTTTGTATGAATAAAAAATCAAAATATAAAGCAAGAGGGGCCTAGAGACGTGACTAATGAACAGAGGATATGTTATTTTAGTGCCAAGAATGTCTACATTGTTTATTCTGGACCCTATTTTGAAATTGGCATCTTTTTTAATTTGTGTGAAATTGGCCAAATTGTCAATTTCTGACCATTTTATTGGGTAGTTCAAATCGGTAAATGGGCAGTTTCTTGTACTCAATTGATAGAAAAAATGAAGTTCTAAAGAAATAGCTATGAGTTTGGTCAACTGGAACAACGGAATTGGCCAAAAACAGGGCTCAAAATCGGCGAAATTGCTGATGTATATATGGGGTTTCGACCAAATTTCGTACTTTTGGTGTCATTACCATCGGGAAAAGATTCTCTATCATTTCATAAGAAAAAATAATTTTTTTTTCCAAAACTTTTGCGACATTGACAGTTTCAGAAAGGGGCTTGCGACAGTTAAGACACAAACCTTGACTGTCACAGTGATGAAATTTCTTTGATGATCGAAGTAACTGATGAACTAAAGATATGATCTCTTCACACATTGGCACATAGACACTATCACAAATGGATTTTGCTATCTCACTTGAAGTCATCATTGGATAGCTACAGAGTATATTTTCAATGCACAAACTTCCAATTTCATGGTTGTGAGAGTGGAGTCCCCTGCACGCCCACATTCTCCGTATATCCAGCACTCCCAGCCACTGGACATAGTGATGCATTTCTCTTGTGTCATCTGAAAGATATTTATTCAATTTATAATACATCATATAACTTACATACAGTATAACAATCTATCAAAGATCAATAAACAACTGTCAAGAAAGACAATTCTTATTTATGAACTGCTTTTTCTCTTACTTACAGAGTTTCTGCATATCCTAATTCTCCATTTAAGCCAAGAGTAGTGTTGTGCTTTCTGCCACTCCTTGAATCAAAAAAACATGCATAGGATACATCTGTACTAAACTAAATCTGGATCACCACTTTAGCAGATTAAACTATGGACATAATTACTGGCAGAACAATGACCACTACCCTAAATTTCTAATTACTGAACTAAGATTACCAAAGCACTATGGGAATCCAAAACACTGACATTCAGCTTCTATAATAATGCATCAATATTCGACTTCACCAATGCAATAAAAAGCACCAACTACCACAGTGAGCTAAACAATATCCAATGCATAAATACAAGAAAATACGTTTTCAACAGAGTCATCCTCTCAAATTTGTGCGCCTTCTTATTCATGAATTTGGATTAACCAATGCTCTAACTAATGGGTAACAGTGAACAGTTTTCAATTACCTAAATATTTTCTGGCTCGATGCCTTCATGACCAAATCTTTTTTAATCTGATCCTTATTTTTTATGAATGTCAATATTAACCAATTAGAATGATATTCTAGGGATATGCTCTCTCAAGCAAAAAATAAACTTACAGTTTATCTGAAACAAAATTTGTTATGCAGACTTAACTTTGTACTATTCAGTTTCTAGTTTTACAGGGCCTGTAGCAACATAACCCCTTGCAAATAAAAAAAGGATGACTACAGAATAACATAACACCTCTACAATTCACACTGATCCTTAACAACAAAAGTTACGAAAAAAAAGGAAAAACATAACTCATGGTTCACTAAAGGTACACATTGCTTAAATCACATTACAATAAACATGGATCTGAAATGTCATGTATGTAAAGAAATTACAAATATATACTCTACAATGCACAGGATTAATTTGGTTCAAACACAACTTCTACTCAAATATATTTAACCCCTTAACTGCTGAGTCCCCCAAAATTAAAAGTTAAGCCAGTGCCACAATTTAAAAATAAGAAAATCTTCTAAATTGGTAGAGAATCTTTTTCTAAATGTAATGACACCAAAAATGCAAAATTTAATACAAAATTTATGGAATTAAGCAGACATGAAGTTAAAGGTCAACAAGCCCTCTATGCAGTTGCAATTTGCCTATTCCAATACTCAAACCAGCTCAATGCCTGACTATTTTACTAGTATGCCTTTTGTACCGTTGACTTGAGTGCAAAAAACTGCACATTCAGCTAAAAGAACTGCCAATTTTACACAACATTGAACAAATTCCAATTTAAAAACAAAGAGTCCAAATTAAACAGTGTAGGAATTCCAGCTACAAAAGCAACCTTTCCTCTCCTTATTAATCATGTCCCCAGGCCTCTCCTATATAACACTTGCCCTCCATTCTGAAGCCACCACACACAAAAATTAAAATAAGTTTTCCCTATTTCTAGGGTAATAATACATACCCAAGAATGTTTGGTCATGGTTTAGGGCATTCCAATAATTGGAGTAGTTATAGTAAAACCTCATAAAACAGACCTGGGGGGGAGGGCAAGAGGGCCCCTACCCTTCCTCTGCAAAAATAGCCAAAAATCAAATATTTCTGCCAGTTTGACGCTTATTTAAGTCCACTTCCGCTCTGAAATTTACCCAAAATCACCTACATTTCACTAATGTGTCTTCCAGCTTATGAAACGGTGCCAAGAAACAGCCAATAAAACCATGAAAAGCACCCTAGGAAATGTCTTGAAATCACTATTTTAACCCAAACACAAGGTTAGGGGTTAGCTGTTCTCCTGCACTGTGTAGGGAATGATTTTTTTAATTCTGTGCATATCTACTGCACAGACCCATTTTCTCATATCTAGGCCAATATTTGCAACTCAACATATTTGAGGGTGCTATAATTAAGTTGCAGATCTACATTTCCCACTGACAGACCTACATGAAACAGTGTAAGGGTTATTGAAACAAACAAAAAATTTGATCAAATGGAGCAACAGAATTTAAATAGACTCCAAGTCGGTGAAATCACTGATACGAAAACTGGCACCATATTGCTAATTTTGCCCCTGCATAATTCTGAAAGTTTTCTATAAAATTTCATTCATACTTTAGGTGTCATTACCTGCAGAAAAAGATTCTCTACCATTTCAGAAAAAAAAATTATTTTATTTTTTATAGAAAGTGGACACTGAGAGGAATATTAATTTTGGGAGCCTGGAAATTGAAAGGGCTAAGATACCATGAGTTACCCCAGTACATAAAGGAGGAAACCCAACCAATGTATATAATTAAAGACTTACAGCTAACTTGCCACTGTTATGCAGAATCTTTGAATAATTTATCCACAAGAGAGACTACTCTTTCCTAGTGTCATTCAATACACTCAATGCCTGCCAGTTTAGTTTCAGGCCAAATAAAATGCTAGATCTAATTTATTAAGCTCTTAAGAATAATATCCACTGCCTCTTTATAGATCTTAGGAAAGCTTTCAATATAGCATGCAACAACATCCCGCATCTTAAACTAAAACATTATGGTAACTGAGGTCATCCATCTGCATATCTAGTCCTACCTTAACAAAAGACACCAATGTCTCCATCAAGAGAATATAACCTTGTCAACATGACCTATCGACAAAAGGGTACCCCAAGGCAGTGTTCTTGACCCTCTGCTTTTCCTCACATATAACAATCTTCCAAATGCATGTCAACAACTGAGACCTGTTTGAATATGACATTTATTCATCTTTCACCCAACTCCGAATTTTCTCAATAACACTGTTAACTCTTTCACTGTCCAGCCCCCAAAATTAATACTATTGTTCCCAGTGTCCACTTTATACAATTTTTTTGTCTCCTCTATTGATCTATTTCTAGACTTTTTATTCCAATACCATAAGAGTTTGATATCACAAATAACCAATACCAACATAGCAGGTTATTTGTGAACTGTTCTAGGCAAAAGTATTGTGATTTAATTTTCATTAAAGTTATCATAGAAAATAAAATTTATTTATATAAATGCCTTATACAGTAAACTCACGATACAACGGACTAATGGGGGGAAGATATTGTCTGAGTGTTTGTTAAATAAGAATAATATTTAAATATATAACAGAAAACCTTAAGTCTTGTAATCATAACCTGATCATAATGTTTTGTTGCACAAGATTACCTCAATCTCCTTCAGATTTTCACTATTCTTCTTTGCATTGGATGAATGAAGCCACTGTGCGGTGAAACACTTCCACAATAAAGATACCCAAGTGTTGCGCATGTGTTCATTTACTATTATTATGATTATTACAATCAAAACTAAGCACTAAACTCACAAGGGATGTGAAATTATGCTTATTACAAAAACTGGAGGTAATTAATAATAATAATAATATTTCAGCATGATAAAATGCTTGTACAAAGGTGAATGACATATGGGTGTATATGCAGAAAGCCCCTAAATATGCAGAGCATTTTGGGAAAACTTAAGACTAATTTACAATGAGATGATGATGGGTGTTGTAAGCAACATGGAGATGGCTAAAGTTTGATGTTAGAAAACTAATGATTTGGTCAATTTGAAATAATGAGACAAAGATGTGGGCTTGTGCAATGAATAATCCTCAGTATGACACCCTCTCCACTCACCTTAATATGTTAAACATCTTGAACTCAATATGAAGTTAGGAAATAATGTACAGAATTATTGTAACCATTTTTTAACTAATGTATTTTCTTTTAACTGTCTGAGCCTCGCTTAAGTTTAGGTATTTCACAAAGTACTATCACTGGCAATGTTAGGTAAGATAAACCATTATTTTATGACATTACAATTTTTTTTTACATCTCTCTCTCTCTCTCAGAGGACTGAAGAACGCAACCCCATTTCTGCTATATGTTTTTCAGTCCTAAGTCACAAAAACTGCTAGTAGTGCAGTTTTCAGGAACGTAACCCACTTGAATTACGATTGTCCACTGTAGTAAAAAAAAACTCATACATGGTACATCAAATATAGTACTGTGCCCTCGATTTAGTTAAATTACAACAAATGTTGAAAATAAGGAAAGTAAACAGTACATTGCAATTTACCCCAACGAATTCTGCTCAATATTATAAAAGTTTACTGTTTATATTGAGATCTGTTATATTGAGGGTTTACTGTAATTATATTTTTTTATTATACCCCTAAAAATTTTTCAACTGTTTGATCTTTCTCTATACACAGATATCTCTTTGCATTCCATTCTAATAATGATAACTGAACCAAACTGTACCATAAGTGTAATGAAAATCACTTACTTTTCTGTTGAAATCCTGACAATCGCTTCCAAATTTTACATGAGTTATCATAGTAAAAAAGAGGACTCATCATCAACAATTTCTTCAGGCGAGCCCTTGTGACTGTTTTCTTCAAGCCAGCTGGTAACTGATAATGTAGATATCTTGTTGATTGGCGATTAGTCCTATTGAAAAACATAGCAGCATTGCAGGAGATCTCAACTTGCACAATTTTCACAAACTCTGTGTATGATGATGGTTTCAAAGTTAGGTTACTATAGTCACATGATTTTAATGCTTTCACTGCCTTGTCCAACCAGAGTATATGATCATTCACAAAGGCGAGTGATAAATTTGAGGAATTTTGATTATTTAGTTTCCACTGCAATAATTTTTCCTTTTCCGATAGTTTGTTTGTGACACTTAGTATATACGACTTTCTAGCTGGTTTTCTGAGCTTGTAGGAATATCGTTTCACCTTGCTTTCAATCTGCTTTCTCTCTTCAGATGAGAGGACATCATAAGATAACTTTTTTCTGAGATATCGTAATACCAATGACTGATATATGTGGATTCGTTCACATGCTGCTTGTTGGTCTTTCACACTTTGTTTAAAACCCTCAAAATCTGCAACAGTTCTGTGTTGCGACTGTGTACAACTCATCCTCTCAAAATCACTGGGCTGAAGAACATTGTTTTGCTGTGACTGAATGCCAGTTCTACATTCAGTATCCTGAGAATGAGTCATGGCAATTTGTAAATTACCGTATTCTAGAAAAACTTTCAAGCAAATAAATCAGAAATGACTGATTATTTGGTAATTTGAAACTTTCCATATTGTTTCTTAAAATGATAAGCATAACATTTATATTAAATTTGTTGCCTTTGTCATACTGTGCAGCATAAGGTTATTTCATCAGCACAATGACAATTTTTGTGGGTTAATTGCCCAGTATTACTTAGAACCTATTTTGAAGGACTACTGTGTTGTATTTTTTTTAGTAATTATTATTTTAGATGTTTTTGCAAACCCAGCCTCCATTTTCCATCTGTAATTAAATGTCATAAGAGAAGCATGCCTATTTCACAAAAAAGTCACTTTTTATCAATGGAGTGGTGCACAGCAAGAAATAAACATCTGCTTATACTGGGTAAATGACTGATAATTTAACATTAAAAATGTTTTTTTGAACTGTATTTCACTGGCTTCTTCATCAGAAAACTGGGAAATCCTCTGGTTCCGCTATTCACCACCTGAAAAGTAAATCCTAAAATAATTATGTAAAAAGTATGTATTATAGAAAATCAAGAGTACAGGTATAACAGAGAAAAACTGAATCACATTAAGTTTTTATAATAATTGCACCTGGTATTATGAATGAATCATACTTAAAAGATATATACAGTAAATCAATAATACCAGCTATATTAACAACCTATACTCTCTTTGCAACATTTACTTTCTTAAGCATTACCCAATGTCAAATTTTTAATATTCCATTTGATGAAGACTCACATTTTTATTTCATGTCATGTTAGGATAGGTTGCATAAACCTTGCAAAAATTTATATCCAAATTAAAAATTATATGTAGACAAAAGTCAGCAAATGGTGCCACAAAAACACACAAATAAAGTAAGCTTTATATTTAACAATATTTTGCCCAACAAGGGCTCTGTCAAAATAAAACCTCTATGAGTAGATTGTGGGATGACTTATCCAAATATTTAGAAAAAACTCATGAAAGATTTCTCCATTATTTTAAACAAAAGACCATAAAGGTTCCATATAATAACATAAGAAAGGAAGAGCCCTGCAGCAGACTTACTGGCTCATACTAGGCAAGTCCAAGTCACACCCACTTAAGGAAGGACCACTACAGCAGGCCTACTGGCCCAAGCTAAGCATATTCAACTCACAACCACTCATGTACTTTTCTAACTTATTTTAAAGCTACAGAAGGTTTTAGCAACCCAAAACATGGAACATATTCATCACCATTCATTTAAAAGTTATCTTGCTGGAAGTGCACATACATCATAAGTAAAAAAATGACCCTTGAAACTGCAACCTTACACATTCCTAAAGCAAATCACAGGCCAAGCTTTGTTTCTTTGATGGTTGCCTGTCCTGGTGCAGTGTCAAATGCTTTACAGCAATCTCTAATTTGCTGCCAAGACCTTGTTTCTGGCCCTTCATTTTTTTTCATTCATTGGCCCATATGTTGAGCAAATTTTTCAGATGGAAGGAAAGTGGATAAAATGTTATACCTAAAATCAGTTATCAACCTGTTAATAGAGATTCAGGGTCTAGATCTATTGGCCAGATTTATAAGTATATATAGTTTAATATCACTACTCAATGGTTCATTAGGGTGGCTTTAATTATGTCACATCCAAGTTATTCTTTTATTAACAAACATTAAGTTTATTTCTTTAAAATTCAAAGGAGATGCAGTTGCCCTTCAGATTAGTTAAATTATATAAAGCCAGGATCAAACATATGAGAATATTAATGTTTGAAAAACAATGCAATACTGTAGATGATAAACCCATCACTAGGTCAGTAAGGATAAAATGAGCTTTATTAAGAAGATGAAGATTTTGTTTGGCTTATGAAACCCGAGGGTTAATTATCTAGGATAATCCAATTAAGTCAGAATGTTATCAAAGACTGTCTATCTTATTTCCATTTGGATCCTTTAACCCATAAGCAGTCCAAACGTATATATACGTTTTTTCAACATTTGAAAGTATGTAAAAAAAGTAGATCATCATTTTTTTTTACATTTGAAAATGTGTATAAAAGCTTTGATCTACTTTTTTTTTTATATATTTGAAAATATGTAAAAAAAAATGTAGATCTACTTTTGGAGCACTACACATGTGAATGTAGATCTGCTTGGACCATTTATGGGTAAATCCTCTCCCCAGATTACTACCCACACCAGCAGTGTAACACTCAGATACTTATTACAGGAGGGCCCCATTTGTATTGCTGGTGGACTTTAAAGGTTTTCATTATCAAATGTGTCTAAAATGCCTGATGTTTACATTATCACATATTAAATGCTCAGTACAGCTATGCATAAAAAAGATAAAATAAAATAAATACACTGTACATACATGTACCTACCTTAAAATACAGTGCCAGTTGCCCTTCCCTAATACAACTGTACAAAAACGGCAGAAAAGCATGAAACATAATAAACAATGGCTCAATTAAAAGCCAACAAAAGTGTTGAACACGGAAGAGGGTGCTGTATATGCAGAGCCCTCCTGTACTAGGTAAAGAGGGGCAGGTGTAAGAAAACATGATCAATGTTTACACTCGTGCAGGGGACTGAACCCATCTCTGTGTCAGGATTGAGGTGACTAGCAAAGGAGTCAAATAATTTGTACAGTACATTATGCAATAATTTGTACAGTACATTATGCAGCCTTACTTTAAAATAACTCAACAGGGCTTGAACCTGCGGTTAGAGTAGTAAAACTGTAGACCGACGTGTCAGTCTCAAGTTTTATGACTCTCTAATCGCAGGTTCAAGCCCTGCCCGTGATATGGGTTGTTTGCAATTGTGCCATTATGATTTCATGAGTCATGATTAGGTTACAGTAGGTTCTATGTGAATGTTCAAGAAATGTCAAAGTATTTTATCCACAGTGTCATATTACCAACCATTCTGGAAATATACATATTGACTTTGCCTTTCGTAAATCAAACTTTTTTCAATACAAGCATACCTTGCTAAAAAATAAGGCAATTTGATTAATTTAAAACCACACATAAGCTACACTGAACTATTTTTGTGATTTATGAATTAACTCATTGCGACTGTAACCAGATATATAAAAGTAAATATTTCATTAAGAGATGAGATTTTCTTCGGATTTTTAACCCCGGAGGGTTAGGCACCCAGGATAACCCAAGACAGACAATGCATCATCAAAGGACTGTCTGTCCTATTTTCATTGAGGGCCCTCAATCTTGTCCCCCAGGATGCGACCCGCACCAGTTGACTAACATCCAGGTACCTACCTGCTTGCTAGGTGAACAGGAACAGCAGATATAAGGAAACACACTCAATGTTTTCACCCTTGCCAGGGATTCAACCACAGACGCTGTGTATGTAAAGCGAGTGTTGCCTACCAGGCCACGGGACAGTCCGTGTTTCTGATATCTTCTAGTAAGATGCTGAATAATCTTGGACCACAGATACTGATACAATATACTCTTGTGTTAACAATCACACTATATACTGTATTATTATTATTATTATTATTATTATTATTAGTCAAAAACCAAGCAATAAACCCACAAGGGTCATACAGAGAAAATACTGTAAATTCAGAGTAAACTGAAGACTTAAATGACAAGACTAAACATGAGTGAGCATGAACAATGAACTGGTGCAGGTGGCCTATGGCTTAGGGAACAATAAAAACAGACAGTCTGGATGTGGCTGTTCTGGCCAGTACTGGACAAACGTCTGAGTCACAGGAATTGGTCTGACGATTCAGATGACAGCCAGACATTACGATACAGATAAAATCTAGAATTACAGAATATTTTCCATTTTGACGAATGCCTCTGTTTGTCTGACCAGTTTTTTCATCCATAATTTGTGAAATCTGATAAATGGAGGTCCATTAATTAGAGGTGTTGTCGTATAATAAAACTATCAGCAAACGCTAACTTAACATAACCTAACCTAAACCTACATTCTATTGCCATACTTTAGGAAGTCACCAAACACAATGCCTGGACAAGGCACAGACATCGCTGATTTTAAAAATCGAAGACTTCGCTGAACACTTTCCTAAGGCGGAGACATTGCCGATTTTAAAAAACGAAGACTTCGCCGAACACTTTCCTAAGGCGGAGACATTGCCAATTTTAAAAATCGAAGACTTCGCCGAACACTTTCCTAAGGCGGAGACATTGCCGATTTTAAAAATCGAAGACTTTGCCAAACAATTTCCTAAGGCGCAGACATCGCTGATCTTTAAAATCAAAGACTTCGCCGAACACTCTCCTAAGGCGCAGACATTGCTGATTTTAAAAATCGAAGACGTCGCTGAACACTGTCCTAAGAGGGTATGTCGGTACTATTGCAAATGTTGTACGTAAACTTGCGGGCTGTCTAAAAAAAAGATGCATTAAAGAAAATCAGAGCAGATTCAGATTAAGACTCAGAATCCTGTGTCAAAATGATGTGTTGGCAGTTTACAAGAATACTTTCCAATAAGCCCAAATATTAAGCTAACCTGGTAGTTTATGCATTATACTTCAGGCAGTGTTAGATACCATATTAAAACATTCAGTGCAGGTTGTAATTTAGGACAAAAGAGCGGCGTAAGAACTACATTACACTAAAAATACAGTAAAATTAGCCTAACTATCATTTTTACCTGAGTTGTCCCTGTGATCCTGCTGTCTCTATTACAAGTTATATTTTCACTATAAACATAGAAGATAATGATATAGCAATAATATACTGTATATGTATACATATAGACCATACATAAGTGAAATGCAATAAGACTTACGTTGTTCACAAGCTTACTATGTATTTGTTAACTACCCTTGATAGTAGTGTTGCCAACAACACAACGCTCACTGCGCTGCAATATAAATTTTCCTGTTTAGTTTTTAAACTTATATTATAAGACATAGTATTCATTTTTGAAGCGTTTTTATTCATATAAAATATACACAAGCACAGTATATGTTTCTGAATTTTTAATAAAGTAATAAATAGCAAAAACAGCTAATATTTTCAGAATGCTCATTTCGGTTTTATTAGCTATCGATAATAATATATTGCAAAATGATATTTTATGCCACTAAATTATATATAAAAGGCAAAATAACTTAACTAATAAGGTAAGTACACATTTGTGAAGTAAGCAGTGTTGGCAGCACTGTATTACTCTGCCTGAGATTATTTTCACCAAATGTAAGACAGTACTTCCTGTGCTGAATTTATCAAAGAAAATACTCTAACTTTAGTAGCCAGCTTTTATAAAATAATACTAAAATTTTTCACGTATAACTAGTAATAGCTGGTGTAACTCAGTGCATTATTCTCACTAATATATATCTACAACCCCAGTAATTATTTTAACTAAAAATCTTCAGTCAAGGCAAATTACTATTTTTTTTTTTAATAAAACATCGGTCAAGATAGATTTGAGACACTCATCTTAAATAATAACTGATTCTTTAGTGTCCAAAATCAGGTGAGTTACCTGGAGAGGGGTTTTGGGGGTCAACGCCCCCGCGGCCCGGTCTGTGACCAGGCCTAATGGTGGATCAGGGCCTGATCAACCAGGCTATTACTCTTGGCCGCACGTAGACCGACGTACGAACCACAGCCTGGCTGATCAGGTACTAACTTTAGGTACCTGTCCAGAGCCTTCTTGAAGACAGCCAGCGTCTATTGGTAATCCCCCTTATGTATGCTGGGAGGTAGTTGAATAGTCTTGGGCCCCTGACACTTACTGTGTTGTCTCTTATCGTGCTAGTGGCACCCCTGCTTTTCACTGAAGGGGGAAGGGATGTGTTGCACCATCTGCCGAGTCTTTGCTCTCATAGGGAGTGATTTTTGTGTGAAAATTTGGTACTAATCCCTCTAGGATTTTCAAAGCGTATATAATCGTGTATCTCTCCCGCCTGCACTCCAGGGAGTATGTAACGTGGGGGTTCTAGGAGATAAAAGTGGTGTAGAAATACACCTGGGGATGGCCGGTAAAACTTGTATTTTGCAGAGTCCTTATCACCCTTATCCCCATCAATTACACAACCCAGGGCAACATGGGTTTAGAGCAGGTCACTCCTGTCTGTCCCAACTACTGGCCCACTACGACAAGGTCCTAGATGAACTAGAAGACAAAAAGAATGCAAATGTAATATATACAGACTTTGCAAAAGCCTTCGACAAGTGTAACCATGGCGTAATAGCGAACAAAATGCATGCTAAAGGAATAACAGGAAAAGTTGGTAGATGGATCTATAATTTCCTCACAAACAGAACAAAAAGAGTAGTAGTCAACAGAGTAAAGTCCGAGGCGGCTACGGTGAAAAGTTCCGTTCCACAAGGCACAGTACTTTCTCCCAACTTGTTTCTCATCCTCATACCTGACATAGACAAGGATGTCAGCCACAGCACCGTGTCTTCCTCTGCAGATTAATTAGTTAGTTTAATATGTTTATTATGCACCCCATACCCATCCTGTGGGCGGTAGTCAAAAGATTACAGAGGTACATAATTGGTCCAGGGACTGGACTCCAAAGTTTTGATAGCTGAGCAAGTTACAAAGGTAATGAACTAGAACTGGTCATAATCATGACCAAGTTACAAAGGTAATGAGCTCCAGGTTGAGCTGGTCACACTCATGAATAATTGCAAAGGTAATGAATCATAAACACATTAATCATGAGAATTTACAAAGGTAATGAGGTCCAGGTAGAGCTGGTTACAACCATGACAAGTTTCAAAGGTAATGAATGATAAACACGTTATGACATGATTACAATCATAGACAAATTACAGAGTAATGAGCAGTTAACAAGCATAGGGAATTCATCCATTGCCCCAACAACAGATGTTGCTAGGTGCCTGTCTCTCCTCGGCAGACAGCCATTGCAAACAGCAGCAAGTTGCCCCGGGATCTGCTGCTTGCACAAGCACCATCGACCCTCCCCAAGAGGTCCAAGAAGCCAGTGACTCCGTTAGCAGCCCGATGGAGAGCTGTCCTAGGGACATGTCAGCGTCCTGGTGGACGCCAAGTTGACTGAAGATCCCAGGCCCTCATGTGCACGGATGTTGAAGCTTGAGGAACTGAGTACACACTGCCTGTGGTACACCTGGCAGCTGCCTCGCAGTCGAACTCCACGATGCTGTCCCTGTAGTGGAAGTTCCTGTGAGCCCGGCACTCCCTGCAGTGCCATCGCTGACATCGTGGGTTAGGGGAGAAGTACCCTCTACAGATGGGGTGGCGCTGGGAGTTGGGTGGGTGAGGCGGGGGAGACGGGCAGGGGTGAGGCGTTAAGAGAGGGTCACTGTTTACTACACACGCCCTCCCCCTCCCCCCCAGCGGAGAGGGGGGGAGGCGCTGACTGGTCCTGACTCAACAACACCAAACCCTCTAAAACTGCACAACACTTCAACTATTTACGCTGAAACGATGCACTGGGATGTCTGTTCGCTGCTCTGGTATCTTCTCAAAGCATTCACACTGAGTTCTGATAAGTAGGGACCTGGTCATCCTCTTTCACCAGGAGCTATCCTTGAAAATCCCGCAGCTAACCCTCTACACAACCTGCCGTGTCGGCCATGCCAGCAGCTGTGATGCCTCTGCAGATGACACCCGAATCTGCATGACAGTGTCTTCCATTGCAGACACTGCAAGGCTCCAGGCGGACATCAACCAAATCTTACAATGGGCTGCAGAAAACAATATGAAGTTCAACGATGAGAAATTTCAATTACTCCAATATGGTAAACACGAGGAAATTAAAACTTCATCAGCGTACAAAACAAATTCTGGCCACAAAATAGAGCGAAAAACCAACGTCAAAGACCTGGGAGTGATCATGTTGGAGGATCTCACCTTCAAGGACCATAACACTGTATCAATCACAGCTGCTAGAAAATTGACAGGATGGATAATGAGAACCTTCAAAACTAGGGATGCCAAGCCCATGATGACACTCTTCAGGTCGCTTGTTCTATCTAGGCTGGAATATTGCTGCACACTAACAGCACCTTTCAAGGCAGGTGAAATTGCTGACCTAGAAAATGTACAGAGAACCTTCACAGCGCACATAACGGAGATAAAACACCTCAATTACTGGGAGCACTTGAAGTTCCTGAACCTGTATTCCCTGGAACGCAGGTGGGAGAGATACATGATTATACACACCTGAAAAATCCTAGAGGGACTAGTACTGAACTTGCACATGAAAATCACTCACAACGAAAGCAAAAGACTTGGCAGATGATGCAACATTTCCCAATGAAAAGCAGGGGTGTCACTAGCACGTTAAGAGACAATACAATAAGTGTCAGGGGCCCGAGACTGTTCAACTGCCTCCCAGCATACTTGAATACAACAAAGTCTCATTTAGACTCCATGACGAGGCCTCAGTAAGGAAGTTCACAGCTGACCTAGAGACTGTTGACTGGCCTACAGAATTCTCCAAGGCCAATGGTATTGATGACTGGACAGACATTTTTCTTAACAAATTACTTAGACTATACAACAAACATTGTCCTATAAAAACAAAACAGATCACAAACAAACGGCTTGGTTGCCCATGGCTAACCAGCACCATTCTGAAATCCATTGACAAGAAACACCAATATGAAAAGCAATATAGACAATGCTTAATACACAAAGATATTCTTAAACACTATTCATCAGCTCTCACCAAAGTAATAAAGAAAGCCAAACAACTATACTACTCCAGTAGATTCACAGACACTAGAGGAGATATAAAAAAGACCTGGAAAACACTATTCAGATTCTAGGGACCCACAAACTGAGAAAAACCAAAAACATTGTCCTAACTAAACCTAATGAAACACCACTACATCCCACTGACACAGCTAACAAGATAAACGACTTCTTCTCAACCATAGGATCTAATCTCGCCAGTAAAATCCCACATACCAATGCCCATGCCGGGGACTACCTAGATGGGAATTTCCCTAATTCCTTCTATCTTGCACCAACAGAGCCCACAGCATTGGAAAATAAGGAATATCCACTAGGAATTTTTATTGACCTAAGAAAAGCTTTTGACACAGTAGACCACGACATCCTACTCCACAAACTTAATCATTACGGTATACCGCCCACAGGATGGGTATGGGGTGCATAAAGATATTAAACTAAAGTGTGTGTGTGTGTGTGTGTGTGTGTGTGTGTGTGTGTGTGTGTGTGTGTGTGTGTGTGTGTGTGTGTGTGTGTGTGTGTGTGTGTGGTGTGTGTGACTCAACAATCAATATTTGCACCAATAACTCATTACAGTTGTGACCGGGTGTGGAAGTGTGAATTGCTCATTACTCTATAATTTGTTCATGATTGTAGCCAAAGTATAAACGTAAGTAACCATTCTACAGAATTCATTACCTTTGTAACTTGTGAGCTCATTACCTTTGTACCTAGTTCAGCTATCAAAACTTTGGGGGCCCAGTCCCTGGACCCATTACGTACCTCTGTAATCTGTAAATACCTTTGTAACTTGTCATGATTGTGACCAGACTTACCTGGAGTTCATTACCTTTGTAAATTGTGAGTTCATTACCTTTGTAAATTGTGAGTTCATTACCTTTGTAAATTGTGAGTTCATTACCTCTGTAACTTGCTCAGCTATCAAAACTTTGGAGTCCAGTCCCTGGACCAATTGTGTGCCTCTGTAATCTTTTGACTACCGCCCACAGGATGGGTATGGGGTGCATAATAAACATATTAAACTAACTAACTACGGTATAAGAGGCCATGCACTTGCTTATTTCAAATC